ATTTTTTTTTTTTTTTTTTTTTTTTTTATTAAGGCCCTACGTAAGTAGATAGAGTCTAGTTGATTAAGGTGCTCGTCTCTTATCCTTGGGAGTCGCGTTCGAATCCCGGCAGATTATTTATTTGTTTATTTATTTATTTATTTATAAATAAATAAATAAATAAATAAATAAATAAATTCCGTCGCCGGGACTTGAACCCGGGTCGCGCGGGTGAGAGCCGCGTATCCTAACCACCTAGACTACGACGGATGCTCTCTTTCTTTTTTTTCTTCTTTTTCTTCTTATTAATAAATAAAATAATAAATAAATGGATAAATATATGTAATTAAATCTATTCTGTTTATTTATTCTTCTTATCTATTTATTTATTTATTTATTTATTTATTATATTGCCTCTTTCTTCCTCCTCCCCTTATAATAGGCATGCAGTGTATATAGAGCTAATTAATAATTGTATATTTTACGTTTTTATTTATTATATAATATATATTTATTTATATTTAATTGTTATATTAATTAATTGCTGCTGTAGCAGCAGGAGCTGCTGTTGCTGCTGTTGCTGCTGCTGCTGCTGCTGCTGCTGCTGCGCGTACAGCCGAAATAAATCTATGCCGGCGTCGAGTTCGGCTGTACGTGCAGCTGGGGGGCCCCTGCAGCAGCAGCAAATGTGTCCTATTTAGTGTTATTTTCTTATGATTAATTAATTAATGAGTAATTAAATATAAAAATAATTATTTTTTCTTTATTTATAAGGTATTTAAGAGATATTTGCTGCTGCTGCTGCTGTTGTTGCTGCTGCTGCAGTTAATACTGTTGGTTGGTGGTTGTGGCCCCGCAGCAGGAGCAGCAGCAGCAAGCCGTCTTCTTTCTTGCTGTTTGTTCTTATCTTTTTATTGTTTATTTTTATTTATTTATTAATTTATTCTATTTATATTTATTTATTTTGCTGCAGCAATTTGCTGCTGCTGCTGCTGCTGCTGTATACATAAGTAACAAGTTTATTACCCCCCTCCTTCCTTGATAGCGGCTCCTCCGCCGCGTCTGTCGCGCCGCATCGGCAGCAGCAGCAGCAGCAGCGGCAGCAGCAACACTAGCAGCAGCAGCAGCAGCAAATAAATAAGCCCCCCTTCTCTGTCTATCTATCTGTCTCCCCTGTCTCCTTTCTTCTTCTTTCTTTTCCTTTTTCTTTCCTCTTCTATTGGCTCTCCTCTTTACCACGACAGCAGCAGCAGCAGCAGCAGCAGCAAGCCTTGGCTATCTGACTCTTTCTTACTGCTGCTGCTGCTGCTCTTGCTGCTGTTCTTGCTGCTGCTGCTGCAGCCACTGCAGCAGCAGCAGCAGCAGATTCTTCTTCCTCTACCTCTACCCCCCTTCCCTCCTCCCCCCTCCTCTGTCCCGTGTATAGGGAGGAGTGTATCGAGACTCTCACAACAGCGGCAGCAGCAGCAACAGCAGCAGCAGCAACAGCAGCAACAGCAGCAGCAGCAGCAGCAGCAGCAAATAGAGAATGGTAGAAATAAGGATAGCCCAGTCCTCCTCAACAGTTGATGCAGCAAAACCTGTGGGGCCCCATTTGCTGCGGGGGCAAATAGAGCAGCAGCAGCTGCCTGACGACCCTGCTGCTGCTGCTGCTGCTGCTGCTGCTGCTGCTGCTGCTGCTGCTGCTGCTCTGCAGGGACGGGTACCTCAGGGTACCCCCATACATGGTTGCGTCTCTGTCGCTGGGCAGCAGCAGCTGCATCCGCAGCAGCAACTGCATATTCAGCAGCAGCTGCAGCAACAACTGCTGCAGCAGCAACAGCGCAGCAGCAGCAACACCAGCAGCAACAGCAGCAGCAGCAGCACAGCTGTTAGTGCAGCAGACCAGCTAGTTAATCGTGGATTATGCAGCAACTTCCGCAGCATCTCTGCTGCTGCTAACAAGCACAGCAGCAGCAGC